ATGCTGAAGCTTACTGTATTATTACCACTAATTCTGCTGAAGCTTACTGTATTATTACCACTAATTACTGCTGAAGCTTACTGTCTTTTATTACATAGAAAATACGTTTCTCCCTTTTCTTACACTAAGAGTCGTGTAACGGTTTAAAACATAAAAGTACGTTTTTATGGTCCAACGTATGGACTGTAACGAACGGTGTACAAGTAAGCCGGTATTTGTGTGTTTTCTTACAGCAAAGCCACATCGGGCTATCTGCTGTGTCCACCGAGGAGAATCGATCCGCTGATTTTAGCGTCGTAAATCTGTAGACTTACCGCTGTCCCGCCAGGGGACAGTAAGCCGGTAACTTTAGAGTTAAACCAAAACTGTAATAATAAACCAAGAGTAGCCTATTACCTATAAAGAGCAATATCAAATATACAGTATCAACATCAAGGTATCCTATCTCTTATGCCTTTGAAAATTATTACACTGATATAATGGCTTGAAATACAGAGTGGTCCAAAATCATCTTCATATCTTTAAATTTAATAATTAAATAAATAAGGAAATAGAACCACGTAGTTTTCAAAATATTGTAGCCTAACACAAACATTTTTTTGTAATATTTTTTGTTTCACTCCAGTGAGTAGTGTTACCCCCTAAAATGGCAACCGTTACAAGAAAAGGGGTTATTGCGTCGTTTGGTTTGCAGATACGAAATCAGTGGCTGTGATACGGCATAATTACGGACGCCAGTACTGGAAAGAAGTATGGGGGTATGTTAAGGATATCGTGTATCGCACATCTATAAAAAACATCATGGAGCTAAAGACCATCGCCATCGCCACTGTAACTGTGATTGTGTTGCAACGAACGTGGACTGAAATCGAATATCAGTTACACGTGCTGAGATCTACTAATGGTACACACCTAGAAGTCTACTGACATGTCAATCAATAAAAATTGTTCGAGTTGAGCTACAAGATGTTGAAAACTGCATGGTTGTATTTTCTTAATCAGGTAAAGATTAAATTTTAAAAATAAGAAAGATAATTTTGGGTCACCCTATATTGTTGGCAGTACTTTGTATTCCGTAGATTCAACGTTCGATTGTTGCAACCCTCAAGAAACAGACAGTGAATGTTTTCCTATCAGTATTCCACAGTCTGACTCCTTCTACGCAACATTTAGTCAGACTTGCTTGAACTTCAGAAGATCTGCAAAGTGTTTAAAGGCAAATAATGGTAAGTGTGATTTTTGTTCCAGATATGACAAATAAAATAGAATTACCATATTTACGTTAAAATAGTTTTTGACGACTTTTAGCAATCAGGGGTTATATCACTAAAGTATAACTCTTTTGTATCAGGGTTATATCACTAAAGTATAACTCTTTTGTATCAGGGTTATATCACTAAAGTACAACGCTTGTATCAAGGTTATGTCACTTAAAAATAACTGTTTTGTATCACGGTTATGTCACTTAAATATAACTAATTTGTATCACAGTTATGTAACGAAAGAATAACTCTTTTGTGTCACCGTTATGTCACTAAAGTATAAGTCTCTTTTATTAATGACTAGCGTATAGCCCATCAAAAACAACAGGGCAAGTACTACCACCCCCACATTAGTATACTCTAATCTCGCATTTCATAGCTAACTGAAATAAATAAATTTTGCGAAATCAAGCTTGACAAACAAAGCAGCAGAAAAGTGCAGTCCAGGCAGTCAAACATCGGTAAATCCCTTTGTGAGTCAATCAAAATTAAGATAATTCATGAAATGAATTCGTGGCGTATTCATAGAATTATTATTGGTAATAATCAGTTAGATTAACAACTTCTCATATATAGAAAAGCCAGTGCGTTTTGGTAACACCACGTTCCAACAATGGCTTTTATGTCATGTCGCTTAGCAACAAAAGTATAACCTAATATTGTTGATAATCTATGTACTGAAAGTAGAAAATGAAATGTATAGAAAACAAAACTGGAAAATATTTGTTGATTTCTTAATTTAGAATCTCCGTTGATTAAAGTTTTTTTATTTATGAAAAACGTTGTTGATACAACAGAAAATACCTTAATTCAGAAACGATTTAAGTTTAAAATTAAATTGATATTTTTACTTGCATGATAAATTTTATGCACTTAGCTGTAGGCTAGGTGATTCCCCACTATGTCCTTACATTAAGTTTATTATACCAACACTTACTACACTTATAAGGTTTCACGCCCCCCCCCCTAACGACTCTCTTGCAACCCCGTTACTAAAATCGTAATGGACAGACAGTAATCGAACTATTCTATCTAGATAAATGCATATTGGCTTTTATGACTCCTCCTATTTCGAGAAATCAAGCGTCGTGTGACGTGACAAACACGTGCTTTTATATAGGTTAAATTTGCCCCAAAAGTATATATCACGGATATGCCTCTAAAGTATAACGTTTTTATTACGGCTATGTCTCTAAAGTATAACTGTCTTGTAATACTGTTATTATAATATTTTCTTTTAGTTTTCTCTAAATCTCAGTCAGTATTTTGAACACTTGAGGAAAAAATAATCTATACCTGTTCACTCATCAGTTTGTCATACCCCCGTGTTGTGTAAGGAGGAAAGAGTTATAACTGTCCACTTATTAGTTTGTCATATCCCCGTCTTATGTAAGGAGGATACAGTTATGGTTGTTCACTTATCAGTTTGTCATATCCCCGTGTTGTGTAAGGAGGATAGAGTTATAACTGTCCACTTATTAGTTTTCATATCCCCGTCTTATGTAAGGAGGATACAGTTATGGTTGTTCACTTATCAGTTTGTCATATCCCCGTGTTGTGTAAGAAGTATAGAGTTATAACTGTCCACTTATTAGTTTGTCATATCCCCGTGTTGTGTAAGAAGGACAGAGTTATAACTGGTCACTTATTAGTTTGTCATATCCCCGTGTTGTGTAAGGAGGACAGAGTTATAACTGTTCACTTATTAGTTTGTCATATCCCCGTGTTGTGTAAGAAGGATAGAGTTATAACTGTTCACTTATTAGTTTGTCATATCCCCGTGTTGTGTAAGAAGTATAGAGTTATAACTGTTCACTCATCAGTATGTCATATCCCCGTGTTGTGTAAGAAGTATAGAGTTATAACTGTCCACTTATTAGTTTGTCATATCCCCGTGTTGTGTAAGAAGTATAGAGTTATAACTGTTCACTTATCAGTTTGTCATATCCCCGTATTGTGTAAGGAGGATACAGTTATAACTGTTCACTTATTAGTTTGTCATATCCCCGTGTTGTGTAAGGTGGATAGAGTTATAACTGTCCACTTATTAGTTTGTCATATCCCCGTGTTGTGTAAGGTGGATAGAGTTATAACTGTCCACTTATTAGTTTGTCATATCCACTTATTGTTTAAAGAGGATAAGTTGCATGTATGTATATTTTTCCCGACTATTGTTTTAGCAGAAGACGCGAATTTTTGTCAATGAGATTTGATCTTTTCCATTAGTAATAACCATGCATTAATACTTATAATTTTGTTTGGTAGAAAAAATAAACAAATTATCTGTGTTTCCAGTGAAACGCTTGTATTCATTTTTCATACTCAAGTTATGTAAAAACCTTTAGAAACACATGTCATATTGTTATGTTTTCCATGAAAATACTGTCTTGTAAAACTTCTTCTTTTATGTTTTCACCAGTGATATGTTTGTATTATCTATATATAATGGGGTTTACCACTTGCTTCAATACGACAATACCGTATAAAGTCGAAAATTGCGTATACTAACAAAATCCATTTACAAAAACGTTTGAAGAAATATACCTAATGTACACTCAAGTTTTCTTCTGTCCAACGTAGAAATATACATAATGTACACTCAGGTTTTCTTCTATCCAGCCTAGAAATATTCATAACGTACACTCATTTTTGATTCTGTCCAACCTACAAATATACATAATGTACACTTAGGTTTTCTTCTGTCCAACCTAGAAATATACATAATGTACACTCAGGTTTTCTTCTATCCAACTTAGAAATATACATAATGTACACTCAGGTTTTCTTCTGTCCAACCTAGAAATATACATAATGTACACTCAGGTTTTCTTCTGTCCAACCTGACTACAATTTTACCACTACTCATATATCTAACTAAAGAAGGCTTTTGCAAACATGGCTAAAAACTTGGAAAAATAAAATCTTTTTGTTTGTTTAATTTGTTGCGAACCAACATGAATGTGATTGATTTTATTTATCTAACCATGCTGTTCAACTTCCTTGTAGATGTTCGACAGCAGATCAACTCTGTGACATCTTTTATTGACGGATCACAGATATATGGGAGTTTATTAAACACCAGCTACAACGTGAGACGATTTCAGCACGGTAAGAAATAACTGTCTATCCAGTTCAACTTGTCTTTCAGTATTACAGTAGGGTTAGTTGTATTCAGTTCAAGCTTGACTTTCTATAGTACAGTAGATCAATTGTATTCAGTTCAACTCGTCTTTCAGTATTACAGTAGAGTCAGTTGTATTCAGTTCAACTTGTCTTTCAGTATTACAGTAGAGTCGGTTGTATTCGGTTCAAGCTTGTCTTTCAGTATTACAGTAGAGTCAGTTGCACTCAGTTCAACTT